CTGCAGAAGGTGGAAGAAGACTAGGTGGAGTTTTCACCACTGAAGGGCCAGCAGGTGCGTCCAGCCGCCCCACATGGTGCACGGAGCTGACTAACCGGGAAATGCCGTAAGGAGGACAAGCTCCTAGTTTTGCATAGTTTATGGAGGTCAGAGAACAAACTAGACCTCATTCTTCAGCCCTTCCTTCATGAGTGGCTAGTTCCTTTTACTAAAACTCTTCTCCTAAAATACAATTATTTCTCCTTCCTTGTCCTGTGCAAAAATCTATACTTCTGTAGACTCCAAGTTAAGTTGCTGACCCTGCTCCCAATTCGGCACCTTAAACAGACTGAAGTTTGCTTTTTGTTTCCTTGTTTCTTTTCCTTTTTTTTCCCCCAGAGGTAGGTGAGGTCACACAGGTGAAATGACTCTACCTTCATCAAAATGACACTTCTCTCTGCAGTCAAAAGCAGCTCCAAGGCTTGGCTGCTTCTCTCCCAGTTGAGGGGTGGGGGAGTGGAGAAAAGACAGTGATTTTCCCATATTTTCAAACCTCCCATTCAGAGTACTGGCTAGCACTGAGTCACACAGGACTCCTACACACAGAAGAGACTGCGGGAATTAGTCATTACGCAGCCAATCAGGTGGCCAACTTGTGGAGAGAAGGGAAGTCGTTTGTAAAGGAAAAGTGGTTTCTAGAGCAAATGATTAGTACTCACCAGGACTACCTCCAGGTCCACCCCCAGGTCTAACTTCAAGTCTACCTCCAGGTCCACCTCCAATACCCTCTTTAGTGAGTAGACCACTCCATCCATCTTTAACTAGGATCCTTATGTTTTCTAATCTTCATGTGTCAGAAACAGAGTTTTAAGTCAAATTCCTATTTTACTTGCTGGTCTTTCTGCCTAGCTGGCCCTCTCCATCAGCAGGGTACCATTCTCCGGATGAGATGTCCTCTCTGTCACAGACATTGGCTGGTGTTTCTAGAGGTTTCAGTGCACCGTTTTTGACTATTTTTCTGAGTACTGAAACTGAACACCACTGTGAAGTCTACGATGAGAAGGCTGCTGTAGCACAATAATTGTTACCAATGCTCCTAGCTGAAGATGTCCATGCCATCCTCTGTGCTGGCCAATAAAATAAACTTTTTATATTTATTATGACACCTGTTAAAAGACTCTTATAAAGATCCCTCCCCCCAAAAAAATACAGTGTCTTCATATTAAGGAAGTTCATTTCTCTTTTCTCACAATTGAGCAAGGAGACTCTGCTACAAATCCATGACATCAATGTGCTCCTTATAGCTGTTATTATCACTTCTTTGCCAGGACAAATGGTTTTATACAAGTAAGATTCCGAAGATTTGTGCTAAGGCTCCAGTCCTAGCTGTCCTCTGGTGACATGTATCATCAAATACTCAGAATGCCTTTCTCTATCACCTTATCTTACCATCTCTATCCATTTATTCTCATAGCTGACTTTACCGAATGCCTAATATGTGCCCGGCTTTTAGTTAGGCAGCAGAAATACAAAGGCGAGGCAGAATCACCTAGAACATTTACACAAAAGTTCTTATTTGGATAATTTACTTAAAATTTTTGTCACTCTTTCCTGAACATACAATTATGTCTAGAAATTAAATTCAAGAGAAAGTGTATACAGGAAAGCATACTTGCCTTAATTTTGTATTGTTTACATCAATCAGCCTAATTAAAAATTATAACTTAAAGTAAAATTCAGTGGATCATTGAAGATACAAAACCTTGGCAATAGGGTCAAGCTTCAACCCATCTCACCTCTACGTTCTTACCAATCAGCTGCCACATTGATACGAGCTTTCCATCACACAAATGAAACTAGACCATGCAAAAGCCATTCTCTTCTGCGGAGTTCTCTCCGGCTCGGAATCCCACTTCCTGCCGATGTGCCTCCATCCTTCTATTTGTAAGAAGCACATAACCAGGAGAAGACTGGTCTGTGTCCTTGGGGTGAGGATGGGGTATCAGTGTCTAGGGCATCTAAAGGGCTGGGGAAGTGTGGCTGTAGATGCAGATGTTGGCTGCAGGTACGTTCAGCTTGCAGCTTCTCCTTAGCTTATGCTAAGGAGGATTCTGTCATTCTTCCACAATTTAGAAGGGATGAGGAGAAACTTACAAGGTCCCAAACACTGTATCAGCTGTGGTGGTGGTGTCAAACTACGTATGATATATGTTATCTTCCCCCAGAACTGTTTTCTTTTCCCCTAAGGAAAACCAAAAAGAAATGGGGCTGGCATATAGCTCAATGGGTAAAGGCACTTGACTGGCAAGACTAATGGTCTGAGTTTGATCCTTGGAACCCATATGAGGAAAGGAGAGAACTGATTGCCTCAAATCTGTGTCTGACCTCTATATATGTAGTATGGTGCATGCCCCCCTACACACTCACACAGACACACATGAGCACACACACTCACACACACCCACCCACACCCACACACACACTCTCTCTCTCTCTCTCTCTCTCTCTCTCTCTCTCTCTCTCTCTCACACACACACACACACACACACACACACATCACTAAATACAGTCATCTTTTAAGGCTGTTGTGATGAGGAAGATCTGAAGGGCTGGCTTTGTATGCCTATATTTTCCCATCAAAGCCTGAGTTTCCTGAGCCACAGCTGCACTCTGAAGCGTTCTGCTCCCTGGTCCTCTCCTGGTTCAAATAATTGTGGTTGTTTTTCTCCCCCTTTTGACCTGAAGAAGCATCAGAGGGCAGGAACTCAAACAGGCAGGAACCTGGAGGCAGGAGCTGATGCAGAGGCCATGAAACTTACTGACTTGTTCCCCTTTGCTTGTTCAGAAAACAAAGCCAGGTGGGTACAAAATGATTTTATTATAACAAATCCATGTAGCTCTTTGCCCAAGGAAAGACAGTAGAGCCAGTCAGAAAAGTCTGGAACCGCTGATTCCTGAATCCTTCTTCTGTCAGTAGGCAGCCACAAGCTTGCTCCGCAGACTTGGAGAAAGCCCCTCTGTTTTTCTACCGTAGTCTTGTCCATTGCTATGTCAGACTGATGATCTCCACGCAGATCCTGCCAGTTCTAAATCTTTAAATCTGCGTTGGTCAGTTTGACACTGAAATAATAGGTCTAAGATTCTGGATGTTTGTCATGAGCCTGGTTTTCTTGCTCTTGATATGTATGCTAAAAACCAACCCACATTTAGACTTTTAAATTATTTTAGCTTAGTCTATGTATTGGGTGCGCCATCTCTGATAGACACATGGGGATCCAACCCTCAGCTCCTTCAGGGAATCCACACTGGTGTGTACCCGTCTTCCACCACACTGGTGTGTGTCCGTCTTCCACCACACTGGTGTGTGCCCGTCTTCCACCAAACTGGTGTGTCCCCGTCTCCCACCACACTGGTGTGTGTCCGTCTCCCACCACACTGGTGTGTGCCCGTTTTCCACCACACTGGTGTGTGCCCGTCTTCCACCACACTGGTGTGTGCCCGTCTTCCACCACACTGGTGTGTGCCCGTCTTCCACCACACTGGTGTGTACTCGTCTCCCACCACACTGGTGTGTCCCCGTCTCCCACCACACTGGTGTGTACCCGTCTCCCACCACACTGGTGTGTGCCCGTCTTCCACCACACTGGTGTGTGTCCATCTTCCACCACACTGGTGTGTGTCCGTCTCCCACCACACTGGTGTGTGTCCATCTTCCACCACACTGGTGTGTGCCCATCTTCCACCACACTGGTGTGTACCCGTCTCCCACCACACTGGTGTGTGTCCATCTTCCACCACACTGGTGTGTACTCGTCTCCCACCACACTGGTGTGTACCAGCTTTCCACCACACTGGTGTGTATCCGTCTCCCACCACACTGGTGTGTGCCCGTCTTCCACCACACTGGTGTGTGCCCGTCTTCCACACTGGTGTGTACCAGCTTTCCACCACACTGGTGTGTGCCCGTCCCCCACCACACTGGTGTGTACTCGTCTCCCACCACACTGGTGTGTGCCCGTCTCCCACCACACTGGTGTGTGCCCGTCTCCCACCACACTGGTGTGTGCCCGTCTCCCACCACACTGGTGTGTGCCCGTCTTCCACCACACTGGTGTGTGTCCGTCTTCCACCACACTGGTGTGTGCCCGTCTTCCACCACACTGGTGTGTACCGTCTTCCACCACACTGGTGTGTGCCCGTCTCCCACACTGGTGTGTACCCGTCTCCCACACTGGTGTGTGCCCGTCTTCCACCACACTGGTGTGTGCCCGTCTCCCACACTGGTGTGTACCCGTCTCCCACACTGGTGTGTGCCCGTCTTCCACACTGGTGTGTGCCCGTCTTCCACACTGGTGTGTACCCGTCTTCCACCACACTGGTGTGTGCCCGTCTTCCACCACACTGGTGTGTGCCCGTCTTCCACCACACTGGTGTGTACCCGTCTTCCACACTGGTGTGTGCCCGTCTTCCACACTGGTGTGTGCCCGTCTTCCACCACACTGGTGTGTGCCCGCCTTCCACCACACTGGTGTGTACCCATCCTCCACACTGGTGTGTACCCATCCTCCACACTGGTGTGTACCCGTCTCCCACCACACTGGTGTGTACCCGTCTTCCACACTGGTGTGTACCCGTCTCCCACCACACTGGTGTGTGACCGTCTCCCACCACACTGGTGTGTGCCCGTCTCCCACCACACTGGTGTGTGCCCGTCTCCCACCACACTGGTGTGTGCCCGTCTCCCACCACACTGGTGTATCCCCGTCTCCCACCACACTGGTGTGTGCCCGTCTTCCACACTGGTGTGTACCCGTCTTCCACACTGGTGTGTGCCCGTCTTCCACCACACTGGTGTGTGCCTGTCTTCCACCACACTGGTGTGTGCCAGCCTTCCAGGGGCAAAGCAGGATCTACGGCTTCATCCTCCCAAGGCTAGACCTTCCTTCTCCCTCTGGAAGCTGGCAACTGGTCCAAAGTTCATCGAGTATGCCTAAAATACATCCAATCTTAAGCAAAATCATCTTCTTTTAGTTTCCTCTAGCTGAGAAAGAAAAATAAGAATTGAAAGTTTATACTTTTTACACATATAAAATTTTGCATAATTTGTTAAAATTATGAACACCAACAGTTCACACTATTTTTCTTGTTAGGGTACTAGTGTTATGATAAACACCATGACCAAAAGCAAATTGGGGAGGAAAGGGTTTATTTGGCTTATACTTCCACCTCCTAGTCTTTCATTGAAGGAAGTCAGGACAGGAACTCAAACAGGCAGGAACCTGGAGGCAGGAGCTGATGCAGAGGCCATGAAACTTACTGACTTGTTCCCCTTTGCTTGTTCAGCCTGGCCAGGGATGGCTCCACCCACAATAGGCTGGTCCCTCCCTATCAATCACTAAGAAAATGCCCTACATGCTTGCCTCCAGTCCAATCAGATTGAGGAATTTTCTCAACTGAGGCTCCCTCCTCACTGATGACTCTAGCTTGTGTCAAGTTGTCACAAAACTAGACAGCAGTCCATGTCTCCAAATCTCAATATTTTTTAACACTTATGTTAACATATATCTTCACATTTTATCTATAAGATACAACTTCTTTGGTCTGTAAGAGGTTTTATGAATATGTACAATCAAAGATCAAGAGGGATTTCCCAGTCTTTTTCAATAACGCTGCTAAAACAGGAAAGATTACAAACCTGTCACTCATCCTGACGTGACATCCCTTGTCAAGTGTCCTGCATGATACGGGGACTTGCCTCTCCCATCTACAAGAAGCAAAGGGAAATAGCTGGAACTGAAGTATCAGAACAAACTCTTGGCACGCTTAGAAATACTTTGCATGTTGTCTCGACCTGACCTATGATTGTTTTAGGACAAGGATCCCACTGTGGCTGGACACTTGACCTGCAGAATTCCTTAAAAGAAAGGAGTAGGGCAGTGCGAACGTATCATATGTTCCACAAAGATACAAAACGTTCTGGACATGGCCTAGCTCTCAAGGAGTTCTCAGGCTGGCTAGGTCACTTAAGTACTTCTAAAAATATGATGGGATAATGTTCCTGGCCCTGTTTTCATGAGACACCAGACCAATTAATAGACAAAGAAACAGCCATCATCAGAGTTTGCTTTGAGAAAACTGTGCAGTCTTTATTGTGTGATTCTTATACATGGAGTCTTCCATTTGATCTCTGTCCCTAAATTCAAAGCTAAACTGCACAGCAAGATTTTGGGTTAATGTTATGTACAATAGGACATTTTCTAAACCAGACATTTTGAGCCTTCATATTTGTTTTTTTTTCCCCTGTAGTTGTAAATTTGCAATGTGTTCCCGCTAACACTGTGTTCTCAAATTTCCCTGTGCCCCCCCGACCTTAGCCCCTCCCCCAATCCCAGAATGCTGACCTTACTAAGTACAAGAATATCTCTTGGAAGCCGCTTACTTCCAATAGCACTTTCTAGAATTCCATGTATCACTTGTTAAACATGCTTTTACATTCTCCTATGCCAAAGGCTAGTCGTTACAGATAGAGCATTAAACAACACAGGAATAGTCCTGTCTCTACAGTAATGACTGCCAAAATAGATTTGGACAGGAACCCAGGGGCACCGAATGGGAGAGCAATAGAAAATTCTGCTGAGGCCAAAGCAGAGGCTCCTGAAAAAGGAATCTCACCCCAGAAACAAGAGCCAACACTCTACTCAAGCTTGAGTTCTCAGCCCCCCTGAACTCAGTCCAAAACACAGGTCTACCCACTCCCACGCATGCCTGAGTACAGGGGGTGTTCGTCCTGCAGAGACAGCCTGATGTATTCCTTGAATAGTATCAGTAGACCTGAGCCAAATGCTGTCTTAAGCTTTTTATACACACCTGTGGTTTGGTTTTGTTTTTTTTCACTTAATCCTCGAAACTTCTCTTCCAGATAGTATACAGGATCACACCTATTTTTTAAGTATAGAGAAGGTGAGTAACTTGTCCAAGGTTGCATAGCTGTGACTTTTGGAGCAGCGTTTGAATTAGACAGCCTAGCTTAGCCTTATCTCTCTGGCCCTGGCCTCTGTACCTCTGTACCCCAGCATGTTTTCTAGAGCAACACCCCCCCCCCCCCCCGCTTTGATGTGAAGAGTAAGGGGAAGTCTTTCAATTCTTGCAATTACTAAACCCTGTAACAGGAAATTGGTGTAAGCACACCAAGACACAGAATGCACCCTAGCCTGGTTGCACAGAACTCTAGCTCCAAGCACCCATCAGGAATGCTGTCAAACCTCCCTGATACAGAAGGTTCCAGTTTGTGTGTGTGTATGTGTGTGTCTATGTGTCTATCTATGTGTCTGTGTGTCTATGTGTGTGTCTATGTGTGTATGTATGTGTCTATGTGTCTATCTATGTGTCTGTGTGTCTGTGTGTGTATATGTGTGTCTGTGTGTGTCTATGTGTGTCTGTGTGTCTATGTGTGTCTATGTGTCTATCTATGTGTCTGTGTGTCTGTGTGTGTATATGTGTGTCTGTGTGTGTGTCTATGTGTGTCTGTGTGTCTATGTGTGTCTATGTGTCTATCTATGTGTCTGTGTGTCTGTGTGTGTATATGTGTGTCTGTGTGTGTGTCTATGTGTGTCTGTGTGTCTATGTGTGTCTATGTGTCTATCTATGTGTCTGTGTTTGTATATGTGTGTCTGTGTGTGTGTCTATGTGTGTCTGTGTGTCTATGTGTGTCTATGTGTCTATCTATGTGTCTGTGTGTCTGTGTGTGTATATGTGTGTCTCTGTGTGTGTCTATGTGTGTCTGTGTGTCTATGTGTGTCTATGTGTCTATCTATGTGTCTGTGTGTGTATATGTGTGTCTGTGTGTGTGTCTATGTGTGTCTGTGTGTCTATGTGTGTCTATGTGTCTATCTATGTGTCTGTGTGTCTGTGTGTGTATATGTGTGTCTGTGTGTGTGTCTGTGTGTGTCTGTGTGTCTATGTGTGTATGTATGTGTCTATGTGTTTCTGTATGTGTCTGTGTGTGTCTGTGTGTATATGTATATGTGTCTCTGTGTCTATGTGTGTCTATGTGTGTATGTGTGTGTGTCTGTGTGTATGTGCATGCATGTGTGTGTCTGTATGAGTATGTGTGTGTCTGCATGTCTATGTGTGCATGTGTGTGTGTCTGTGTATGTACATGCATGTGTGTGTCTATGTGTGTTTGTGTGTGTCTGTGTGTGTCTATGTGTGTGTCTGTGTGTCTATGTGTGTATGTGTGTGTCTGTGTGTCCATGTGTGTCTGTGTGTGTCTGTGTGTATGTGCATGGATGTGTGTGTGCCTGTGTGTGTATCTGTGTGTGTGTCTGTGTGTCTATGTATGTATGTGTGTATCTGTGTGTCTATGTGTGTGTCTGTGTGTATGTGCATGGATGTGTGTGTGTCTGCGTGTGTATCTGTGTGTGTTTGTGTGTATGTCTGTGTATGTATGTGCATGCATGTGTGTCTATGTGTGTGTATCTGTGTGTGTATGGGGGAGTGGCACAAATGATCCCTCTGGCCAAGAAAGGTGGCAGCACACACATAGGAAGCTCCCCACCTCCTGTCTGCTGAAGGAGTCAGGTAGATAGAAATGCCTTCAAATAACCTAAGATGTGAGAAATTGAAGGCATAGCAGGCTGGAATTGTCACTGGATATTTTTAGGAGAGCTTATTTTGCAAGCTAGAATTACAGAACAGAACGATGTAGTCAATTAAAAATATTTCAGGATGACTTTCTGGCATTGGGAGAGGATAACAGGAGAGTCACAACCGGTGACAAAGAACCAGAAGAGACTACCGTTCCTGCAACGCACTGGGTGCCACTTTAAAATGACATTTTAAGATAAACTGACTTATCCCCCAATAGCCAGTTCAAGTTGTCAACAAAAGGAAGCGGCTTATAGAAGAATTCAGAACAAGGACCAAAGAGTTTTTCAAGGGAGAGCGTTATTCATTATTTAGGCTCATAGTCTTCATCAAAGGGTCTAGGGGGGGTGGGACTATAAGGCCATACACTAAAGAATCCGCACACTCAGCTTTCATGGCGTGTGAGGCACCTCTATCTGGCTCCTGTTCCACTGGAGCCCCATACTTCCTATATCCATGTAGGGGCTCAAGAGTTATTATTGAACAGATGGGAAAATCGAGATGTGAGAAGGTCAAATATATTTATATGGGCACTAAGGTAAGAGTACAGAGTGCAAGGCCCATGCTTTCTTTCCAAACCGCCTATAGGCCACAAGCTTCAGTGAAGTGAAATGTGAGAAAAAGATATTAAAGAATTGAAATCTTGGGCAGTGGTGGCGTGTGTCTTTAATCCCAGAGCTTAGGAGGTAGAGGCACACAGATTTCTGAGAGTTCGAGCCCAACCTGGTCTACAAATGCTAGTTCCAGGACAGCTAAGACTGTAACACAGAGAAACCCTGTTTTGAAAAACCAAAAAGAAAGAAAAAGAAAAATCTGTGGGTACTCCATTTTACAGGAAAGAAATGAAATTTCAGTTATCTTGTCTTGCTCTGCCAAACCTGTCTCTTAGGTTGCCTCGACTCTTAGTGACTGTAGGGGTACCCACATCTTCTATTATATTTCTTGTAGAACAATGGGGTCCCATCATCAGCATGGAAACTTCCAGAAGATTCCATTACACGTTGTCTATCTTGGTTCTCATCCAGTGATTGCATCATTTTCCAAAGCCTGCCCTCTTTTGGCATGTTTCTTTCCTTTGGACATGACCGTCCTCGTCCACTTACAACCGGAAGAGCCACCATGGCTACTCTCTCATGCCCCATCTGTCGCACCCTCCCCCACCCCAGGATGCTGGGCACATAACAGATGTTCATTACAACTGTAAAGAATCGGCCACTCAAGCTGGAGAAATGACTCAGCCTTTAAGAGCACTGACTGCTCTTCCAGAGGATCTGGGTTCAATTCCCAGCACCCACATGGCAGCTCACAACTGTCTGGAAATCCAGTTCCAGGGGATCTGACACCTTCACACAAATGCACATAAAATAAAGATAAATAAATCATAAAAAAATTAAAAAAAGAATCGGCCACTCTCTAGCCTGTTCTCCCCCTCCATGACAAACATGATCTAATTATGGCCTTATGAAAACTTACATCATCTGCTGTGGGAAACGTATAAATTTCATAAAACATGATATTTCAGTTACCTGAGATTCAAATTTCTGACTTTGTTTGAATCCGTTTTTTTCTCACTTTGTCCTTTCACCAGGCCTCCCTTTGCTCACGCACTGACAGTGGGTAGTAGAAGCCAGCATTTATGGAATGTTTACCATGTGCTGGGCATGCTAACTTGTGCATATGTGTTATCAATCTTCATAATCGCTCTCCTCAGCTTCTAGCCCAGGAGACCAAGGCACAGAGAAGTAAGACAACTTTCCCGAACTCCCACCGTGAGGGGTAACATTAAAATCCACCAGTAACACACTGAAGAATGTCGGGTGGCGTAGTTAGAGAAATGATTGTATGATGGTTTGTGCTTTCTCCTTGATGGTTATTCAATTGTAAGCATTTTGCATGACTTTTTTATTTTTAATCTCCTCAAAACATTTTTGAGGTTTATATTATTGCATTTCTAGCTCTATAAGTAATGTTCTAAGAACTACTTGCCTCAGTTTCCCCTTCTTACAATGAGATCACGAATATCATTGCAAGTATTACTCTAATGGAAACCATGCGAATTAGCCATAGTGTGTGGCAGACTCTGTCACCGTAAACTATTATCACCTTTGACCTATCACC